AACAAGTGTTGAAACAGAGTAACAAATGTTGAAACAGAGTAACAAGTGTTGAAGCAGTGTAACAAGTGTTGAAACAGAGTAACAAATGTTGAAACAGAGTAACAAGTATTGAAGCAGTGTAACTAGTGTTGAAGCAGTGTAAGAAGTGTTGAAACAGAGTAACAAGTGTTGAAACAGAGCAACAAGTGTTGAAGCAGTGTAACAAGTGTTGAAACAGTGTAAGAAGTGTTGAAGCAGTGTAAGAAGTGTTGAAACAGAGTAACAAGTGTTGAAACAGAGTAACAAGTTTTGAAACAGAGTAACAAGTGTTGATACAGTGTAACAAGAGTTTAATCAATATAACAAGCGTAGATACAGTGTAACAAAAGTTGAGGCAGTGTAGGAAGCGTTGATACAGTGTAACAAGAGTTGAGGCAGTATAACAAGCGTTGATACAACGTAACAAGAGTTGAATCAATATAACAAGCGTAGATACAGAGTAACAAAAGTTGAGGCAGTGTAGGAAGCGTTGATACAGTGTATCAAGAGTTGACGGAGTATAACAAGCGTTGATACAGTGTAACAAGAGTTGAGTCAGTATAATAAGCGTTGACACAGTGTAACGAGAGTTGATACAGCATAACAGGCGTTGATTCAGTGTAACAAGACTTGAGGCAGTATAACAAGCGTTGATGCACTGTAACAAGACTTGAGGCAGTATAACAAGCGTTGATGCACTGTAACAAGACTTGAGGCAGTATAACAAGCGTTGATTCAGTGTAACAAAAGTTGAATCACTATAACAAGAGTTGATACAATGTAACAAAAGTTGAGGCAGTGTAGGAAGCGTTGATACAGTGTAACAAGAGGTGTGGCAGTATAACAAGCGTTGATACAGTGTAACAAGAGTTGTGGCAGTATAACAAGCGTTGACATAGTGTAACAAGAGTTGATGCTGCCTAACGGACGTTGATTCAGTGTAACAAGACTTGAGGCAGTATAACAAGCGTTGATGCACTGTAATAATACTTGAGGCAGTATAACAAGCGTTGATTCAGTGTAACAAGAGTTGAATCACTATAACAAGAGTTGATACAAAGTAAAAAGAGTTGAGGCAGTGTAACAAGAGTTGATACACTGTAACAATAGCTGAGGCAGTGTAACAAGCGTTGATATTGTGTAAGAAGAGTTGAGGAAAAATAACTAGCTTTGATACACTGTAACAGGAGTTGAGGCAGTGTAACAAGCGCTGAAACAGTGTAACAAGAGTAGGGGCAGTATAACAAGCGTTGAAACTGTGTAACAAGTGTTGAAGCAGTGTAACAAGTGTTGAAGCAGTGTAAGAAGTGTTGAAACAGAGTAACAAGTGTTGAAACAGAGTAACAAGTGTTGAAGCAGTGTAAGAAGTGTTGAAGCAGTGTAAGAAGTGTTGAAGCAGTGTAACAAGTGTTGAAGCAGTGTAACAAGTGTTGAAACAGTAACAAGTGTTGAAGCAGTGTAAGAAGTGTTGAAACAGAGTAACAAGTGTTGAAACAGTGTAAGAAGTGTTGAAGCAGTGTAACAAGTGTTGAAACAGAGTAACAAGTGTTGAAGCAGTGTAAGAAGTGTTGAAGCAGTGTAACAAGTGTTGAAACAGAGTAACAAGTGTTGAAGCAGTGTAAGAAGTGTTGAAGCAGTGTAAGAAGTGTTGAAACAGTGTAACAAGTGTTGAAACAGAGTAACAAGTGTTGAAACAGAGTAACAAGTGTTGAAACAGTGTAAGAAGTGTTGCTGCAGTGTAAGAAGTGTTGAAGCAGTGTAAGAAGTGTTGAAACAGTGTAACAAGTGTTGAAACAGAGTAACAAGTGTTGAAACAGAGTAACAAGTGTTGAAGCAGTGTAAGAAGTGTTGCTGCAGTGTAAGAAGTGTTGAAGCAGTGTAAGAAGTGTTGAAACAGAGTAACAAGTGTTGAAGCAGTGTAAGAAGTGTTGAAGCAGTGTAAGAAGTGTTGAAACAGTGTAACAAATGTTGCTGCAGTGTAGTAAATGCTACAGTGTAATACAAAATACATCATAAATGCTACAGTGTAATACATAATACATCATAAATGCTACAGTGTAATACATAATACATCATAAATGCTACAGTGTAATACATAATACATCATAAATGCTACAGTGTAATACATAATACATCATAAAATGCTACAGTGTAATACATAATACATCATAAATGCTACAGTGTAATACAAAATACATCATAAATGCTACAGTGTAATACATAATACATCATAAATGCTACAGTGTAATACATAATACATCATAAATGCTACAGTGTAATACATAATACATCATAAATGCTACTGTGTAATACATAATACATCATAAATGCTACAGTGTAATACAAAATACATCATAAATGTTACAGTGTAATACAAAATACATCATAAATGTTACAGTGTAATACAAAATACATCATAAATGTTACAGTGTAATACAAAATACATCATAAATGTTACAGTGTAATACAAAATACATCATAAATGCTACAGTGTAATACATAATACATCATAAATGTTACAGTGTAATACAGGTTATTGAGTAACATTAGCTAGAATGTTTTAGTGTCAGATGTTCTTAGGACGGGCCAGTAGGCCTACTACAGTGCCTCATTTTTTATCATTTCTTTTATTGGAATGCGTAGGGAGACACTGGTCAGAGAAATAGCAAGCATCGAACTTAAGCTAAAGGAATCTTATAGGAGTCAGGAATCGCAGGAAGAACTAAAAGCCATAAATGAAATCGAAAGAAACCCAAAGTATTTCTTCTCCTATGCCAAATCAAAATCGAGAACAACGTCCAGTATTGGGCCCCTACTTAAACAAGATGGGTCCTACACAGATGACAGCAAGGAAATGAGTGAGCTACTCAAGTCCCAATATGACTCAGTTTTTAGCAAGCCGCTAACCAGACTGAGAGTCGAAGATCAAAATGAATTTTTTATGAGAGAGCCACAAAATTTGATTAACACAAGCCTATCCGATGTTATCCTGACGCCAAATGACTTCGAACAGGCGATAAATGACATGCCCATGCACTCTGCCACAGGGCCAGACTCATGGAACTCCGTGTTCATCAAGAACTGCAAGAAGCCCCTATCACGAGCTTTTACCATCCTATGGAGAGGGAGCATGGACACGGGGGTCGTCCCTCAGTTACTAAAAACAACAGACATAGCCCCACTCCACAAAGGGGGCAGTAAAGCAACAGCAAAGAACTACAGACCGATAGCACTAACATCCCATATCATAAAAATCTTTGAAAGGGTCCTAAGAAGCAAGATCACCACCCATCTAGAAACCCATCAGTTACACAACCCAGGGCAACATGGGTTTAGAACAGGTCGCTCCTGTCTGTTTCAACTATTGGATCACTACGACAAGGTCCTAGATGCACTAGAAGACAAAAAGAATGCAGATGTAATATATACAGACTTTGCAAAAGCCTTCGACAAGTGTGACCATGGCGTAATAGCGCACAAAATGCGTGCTAAAGGAATAACAGGAAAAGTCGGTCGATGGATCTATAATTTCCTCACTAACAGAACACAGAGAGTAGTAGTCAACAAAGTAAAGTCCGAGGCAGCTACGGTGAAAAGCTCTGTTCCACAAGGCACAGTACTCGCTCCCATCTTGTTCCTCATCCTCATATCTGACATAGACAAGGATGTCAGCCACAGCACCGTGTCTTCCTTTGCAGATGACACCCGAATCTGCATGACTGTCTTCCATTGCAGACACTGCAAGGCTCCAGGCGGACATCAACCAAATCTTTCAGTGGGCTGCAGAAAACAATATGAAGTTCAACGATGAGAAATTTCAATTACTCAGATATGCTAAAAACTAGGAAATTAAATCTTCATCAGAGTACAAAACAAATTCTGGCCACAAAATAGAGCGAAACACCAACGTCAAAGACCTGGGAGTGATCATGTCGGAGGATCTCACCTTCAAGGACCATAACATTGTATCAATCGCATCTGCTAGAAAAATGACAGGATGGATAATGAGAACCTTCAAAACTTGAGATGCCAAACCCATGACGACACTCTTCAGGTCACTTGTTCTATTTAGGCTGGAATATTGCTGCACACTAACAGCACCTTTCAAGGCAGGTGAAATTGCTGACCTAGAAAATGTACAGAGAACCTTCACGGCGTGCATAACTGAGATAAAACACCTCAATTACTGGGAGTGCTTGAGGTTCCTAAACCTGTATTCCCTGGAACGCAGGCGGGAGAGATACATGATTATATACACCTGGAAAATCCTAGAGGTACTAGTACCGAACTTGCACACGAAAATCACTCACTACGAAAGCAAAAGACTTGGCAGAAGATGCAACATCCCCCCAATGAAAAGCAGGGGTGTCACTAGCACGTTAAGAAACCATACAATAAGTGTCAGGGGCCCGAGACTGTTCAACTGCCTCCCAGCATACATAAGGGGGATTACCAACAGACCCCTGGCAGTCTTCAAGCTGGCACTGGACAAGCACCTAAAGTCAGTTCCTGATCAGCCGGGCTGTGGCTCGTACGTTGGTTTGCGTGCAGCCAGCAGTAACAGCCTGGTTGATCAGGCTCTGATCCACCAGGAGGCCTGGTCACAGACCGGGCCGCGGGGGCGTTGACCCCCGGAACTCTCTCCAGGTAAACTCCAGGTAATGACTGTTCAGAGTTGTATGCTGTACTTTTTTTAAGATTGATGGATTCAACCCCAGGTTGAGGGACTGATTACCTCGCTCCTTCTCATCTCCCACTATTCATCTCTGTACAAGACTGAGGAAGCGACTGTTGGCTGAACGTTTCCATAACGAAAATTCCCAAAATGCTGCAAAAGTGTCTAATTCTTGAAGTGGATTTTACAAGTCATTCATATAATCAGGATCACAACGGAAATAAATTACTGGTGGATTATTTTCATATGTATAACTTCATTTACGTGTACATGTACCTAAATAAAGTTACTAAAGTTGTATACTAACCAATGGGAACTTTGTCATCAATGAGCTTGGCAAGAGCATCGTCAATGTTGCATAACTCTAGGTACGTCACGTCGGCCGTCACCTCAGTTGAACCATAGAAGTTACAGATGGTCTGAAAATTAAAACAAGTGTTAATTAGTCTTACTCCTCAGTGAGGTGGTCTCAAGTTAGTGGTCTCTTGATCCAAGTAACTGAAGCTTCCCTTCCCTGGATCAAACCTCCTGCCCTCCCGGTACCCAGGTGTTGTCACCTGATAAACTTGGTACTTCACTAAGAATATGATAATAATTGTGTATACTTTCATCTCTTGCTGTATGGAGCAGATAACATAATGAACAAGTGGTGTAGTTTATTATGAATGACATGACAAGTGGTGTAGTTCATTATGAATGACATGACAAGTGGTGTAGTTCATTATGAATAACGTGACAAGTGATGTAGTTCATTATGAATGACATGACAAGTGATGTAGTTCATTATGAATGACATGACAAGTGATGTAGTTCATTATGAATAACGTGACAAGTGATGTAGTTCATTATGAATGACATGACAAGTGATGTAGTTCATTATGAATGACATGACAAGTGATGTAGTTTCATTATGAATGACATGACAAGTGATGTAGTTCATTATGAATGACATGACAAGTGGTGTAGTTCATTATGAATGACATGACAAGTGGTGTAGTTCATTATGAATGACATGACAAGTGATGTAGTTCATTATGAATGACATGACAAGTGATGTAGTTCATTATGAATGACATGACAAGTGGTGTAGTTCATTATGAATGACATGACAAGTGATGTAGTTCATTATGAATGACATGACAAGTGATGTAGTTTATTATGAATGACAGACAAGTGGTTTGTAGTTCATTATGAATGACATGACAAGTGATGTAGTTCATTATGAATGACAGACAAGTGATGTTAGTTCATTATGAATAACGTGACAAGTGATGTAGTTCATTATGAATGACATGACAAGTGGTGTAGTTCATTATGAATAACGTGACAAGTGATGTAGTTCATTATGAATGACATGACAAGTGATGTAGTTCATTATGAATGACATGACAAGTGATGTAGTTCATTATGAATAACGTGACAAGTGATGTAGTTCATTATGAATGACATGACAAGTGATGTAGTTCATTATGAATGACATGACAAGTGATGTAGTTCATTATGAATGACATGACAAGTGATGTAGTTCATTATGAATGACATGACAAGTGGTGTAGTTCATTATGAATGACATGACAAGTGGTGTAGTTCATTATGAATGACATGACAAGTGATGTAGTTCATTATGAATGACATGACAAGTGATGTAGTTCATTATGAATGACATGACAAGTGGTGTAGTTCATTATGAATGACATGACAAGTGATGTAGTTCATTATGAATGACATGACAAGTGATGTAGTTTTTTTATGAATGACATGACAAGTGGTGTAGTTCATTATGAATGACATGACAAGTGATGTAGTTCATTTTGAATGACATGACAAGTGATGTAGTTCATTATGAATAACGTGACAAGTGATGTAGTTCATTAAAGAATGACATGACAAGTGGTGTAGTTCATTATGAATAACGTGACAAGTGATGTAGTTCATTATGAATGACATGACAAGTGATGTAGTTCATTATGAATGACATGACAAGTGATGTAGTTCATTATGAATAACGTGACAAGTGATGTAGTTCATTATGAATGACATGACAAGTGATGTAGTTCATTATGAATGACATGACAAGTGATGTAGTTCATTATGAATGACATGACAAGTGATGTAGTTCATTATGAATGACATGACAAGTGGTGTAGTTCATTATGAATGACATGACAAGTGGTGTAGTCATTATGAATGACATGACAAGTGATGTAGTTCATTATGAATGACATGACAAGTGATGTAGTTTATTATGAATGACATGACAAGTGGTGTAGTTCATTATGAATGACATGACAAGTGATGTAGTTCATTATGAATGACATGACAAGTGATGTAGTTTATTATGAATGACATGACAAGTGGTGTAGTTCATTATGAATGACATGACAAGTGATGTAGTTCATTATGAATGACATGACAAGTGATGTAGTTCATTATGAATAACGTGACAAGTGATGTAGTTCATTATGAATGACATGACAAGTGATGTAGTTCATTATGAATGACATGACAAGTGATGTAGTTTATTATGAATGACATGACAAGTGTGTAGTTCATTATGAATGACATGACAAGTGGTGTAGTTCATTATGAATGACATGACAAGTGATGTAGTTCATTATGAATGACATGACAAGTGATGTAGTTCATTATGAATGACGTGACAAGTGATGTAGTTCATTATGAATGACGTGACAAGTGATGTAGTTCATTATGAATGACATGACAAGTGGTGTAGTTCATTATGAATGACATGACAAGTGGTGTAGTTCATTATGAATGACATGACAAGTGATGTAGTTCATTATGAATGACATGACAAGTGATGTAGTTCATTATGAATGACATGACAAGTGATGTAGTTCATTATGAATGACATGACAAGTGATGTAGTTTATTATGAATGACATGACAAGTGGTGTAGTTCATTATGAATGACATGACAAGTGGTGTAGTTCATTATGAATGACATGACAAGTGATGTGTTCATTATGAATGACATGACAAGTGATGTATTCATTATGAATGACGTGACAAGTGATGTAGTTCATTATGAATGACATGACAAGTGGTGTAGTTCATTATGAATGACATGACAAGTGATGTAGTTCATTATGAATGACATGACAAGTGATGTAGTTCATTATGAATGACATGACAAGTGATGTAGTTTTTTTATGAATGACATGACAAGTGATGTAGTTCATTATGAATGACATGACAAGTGATGTAGTTCATTATGAATGACATGACAAGTGATGTAGTTTATTATGAATGACATGACAAGTGGTGTAGTTTATTATGAATGACATGACAAGTGATGTAGTTCATTATGAATAACGTGACAAGTGATGTAGTTCATTATGAATGACATGACAAGTGGTTGTAGTTCATTATGAATGACATGACAAGTGGTGTGTAGTTCATTATGAATGACATGACAATGATGTCGTTCATTATGAATGACATGACAAGTGGTGTAGTTCATTATGAATGACATGACAAGTGGTGTAGTTCATTATGAATGACATGACAAGTGGTGTAGTTCATTATGAATGACATGAACAAGTGAAGTAGTTCATTATGAATGACATGACAAGTGATGTAGTTTATTATGAATGACATGACAAGTGGTGTAGTTCATTATGAATGACATGACAAGTGAAAGTAGTTCATTATGAATGACATGACAAGTGGTGTAGTTCATTATGATGACATGACAAGTGATGTAGTTTATTATGAATGACATGACAAGTGATGTAGTTCATTAAAGAATGACATGACAAGTGATGTAGTTCATTATGAATGACATGACAAGTGATGTAGTTTATTATGAATGACATGACAAGTGGTGTAGTTTATTATGAATGACATGACAAGTGATGTAGTTCATTATGAATGACATGACAAGTGATGTAGTTTATTATGAATGACATGACAAGTGGTGTAGTTCATTATGAAATGAAATGACAAGTGGTGTAGTTCATTATGAATGACATGACAAGTGATGTAGTTCATTATGAATGACATGACAAGTGATGTAGTTCATTATGAATGACATGACAAGTGATGTAGTTCATTATGAATGACATGACAAGTGATGTAGTTCATTATGAATGACATGACAAGTGATGTAGTTCATTATGAATGACATGACAAGTGGTGTAGTTCATTATGAATGACATGACAAGTGGTGTAGTTCATTATGAATGACATGACAAGTGGTGTAGTTCATTATGAATGACATGACAAGTGATGTAGTTCATTATGAATGACATGACAAGTGATGTAGTTCATTATGAATGACAAGACAAGTGATGTAGTTCATTATGAATGACATGACAAGTGGTGTAGTTCATTATGAATGACATGACAAGTGATGTAGTTCATTATGAATGACATGACAAGTGATGTAGTTCATTATGAATGACATGACAAGTGGTGTAGTTCATTATGAATGACATGACAAGTGATGTAGTTCATTATGAATGACATGACAAGTGATGTAGTTCATTATGAATGACATGACAAGTGATGTAGTTCATTATGAATGACATGACAAGTGATGTAGTTCATTATGAATGACATGACAAGTGGTGTAGTTCATTATGAATGACATGACAAGTGGTGTAGTTCATTATGAATGACATGACAAGTGATGTAGTTTATTATGAATGACATGACAAGTGGTGTAGTTCATTATGAATGACATGACAAGTGATGTAGTTTATTATGAATGACATGACAAGTGATGTAGTTCATTATGAATGACATGACAAGTGATGTAGTTCATTATGAATGACATGACAAGTGATGTAGTTCATTATGAATGACATGACAAGTGATGTAGTTCATTATGAATGACGTGACAAGTGATGTAGTTCATTATGGAAGATATGACACAAGCATTGTAGTTAGTTATGAATGACATAACAAGTGATGTAGTTCATTATGAATGACATGACACTAATGATGTAGTTCATTATGAATGACGTGATAAGTGATGTAGTTCATTATGGAAGATATGACACAAGTATTGTAGTTTATTACGAATGACATGGCAAGTGATGTAGTTCATCATAAAAAATATGACACAAGTACATATTGTTGTGATGAATAGTTTTGAAAACCGACGAGTTGAAGATTGAGACACTTATGCAACATATGGGAATCTTTATTAAGGAAAAGTTTCGCCACACAGTGGCTTTATCAGTCCAATGCAAATCAGAAGGGTTTAAGAAGAGGAGGAGTTTGAGGTAATCAGTCCCTCAGCCTGGAGTCGATGTGTTCAGTCCATCAATCTTGTAGAAAGTACAGCATAGGGCCGGGGAAGTGGCTTATATACTGCAGTCAGGTGAGGGGAAGCAGGAGGAGGCGGGGTCATAGTGGTACCATCCACTAGTCGAAGTAGGTCTTCGTCCAAAGGTTGGACAGGTTTTGAAGAATTCTTTGTATCAAGACCCCATGATGCTGCAGTGTCTGACCCCGCCTCCTACTTCTTCGCCTCACCTGACTACAGTATATAAGCCACTTCATCGGCGCTATGTTGTACTTTCTACAAGATTGATTTACTGAACACATCGACTCCAGGCTGAGGGACTGATTACCTCAAACTCCTCCTCCCCTTAAACCCTTCTGATTTGTACTGGACTGATGAAGCCACTGTGTGGCGAAACGTTTCCTTAATAAAGATTCCTATATGTTGCATAAGTGTCTAAATTCCTCATCAAGTATTGTTGTTTAATATGAATGACATGACACAAGTGATGTAGTTCATCATAAACGAGATGACAGGTATGAAAATAAATGGATTAGTAACAGAATCCGTTTGGGTAGAATTTCTAGAAAGTCAAGAAAAAACAATTTTAGGTGTAATATACCGACCTTCTGGCTTAGAAAGCTGTAGACGAATTTATTAGGGCTTCTAGTCAGTAGTAAGAGTAGGAGATTTTAACTTACGTAAAACTGACTTTACTTCTTTGACAGGTAATCCTGAGTCCAGTGACTTCCTGGAAGTAGTTCAGGATTGTTTTCTGAAACACTGTGTTAGAGAGCCTACCACAGGTAACAATTTGTTCGACCTAGTCTTGTCAAATAAAGAAACCCTCGTAAGTAATCTGGAGATTACTGAAGAACTTGGCGCAAGTGATTACAAATTTATTACTTTTAATACCTGATAATACAATAAAAGTCTCCGATTTTCGTTCTTCCTATTATAATGGACTTAGGGAATGTAATAAAGTTGGTAGAATTACCGACAATATGTAAAGTAAAAGGACACAAGTGCAACTAATGTGACATTTATTGTGGCAACGTTTCGCTCTCCAAGAGCTTTATCAAGCCATTACAAACAATACATATATATAGGTATATAAAGGGTATATAAAGGCTCTGAGTGAGGTGCAATACTAGTGAGGTACCATTTAGATGTTCACTAGTGGTAGTAGTAGTAGTAGTAACAAAAGTAATACAATATGGTAGAGCAATTAATTCGTACATGAGTAAAAGGATATGAAAGCTATTACTTGGGTAACATAAAAATAGGTTGACGCCCAATTAGTGATCAAAGAAACTAATTTCCGCAGACGCAAGTGCCTAGAATCAGCACTGATCGCTGTTTCGAATACAATTAAACAAAACAACGGCAGCTTCACCATCTCCGAAGTCTTAGCAAGAATTCTCCTGAAAACAGTAAACCCTGCCATCACATAGTCTCTCCTGTTATACTACACAAAGCACAGAGAGTGAACACTGAAACAAGCTGCCTCATTCCAGTTTATATTTGTCCAACCTATTTTTATGTTACCCAAGTAATAGCTTTTATATCCTTTTACTCATGTACGAATTAATTGCTCTACCATATTGTATTATTTTTGTTACTACAACTACTACTACTACTACTACTACTAGTGAACATCGAAATGGTACCTCACTAGTATTTCACCTCGCTCAGAGACTTAGGGAATACCATGATCATGCTATCGATAATGAAGGTATCTGCGCTCATGAGTATATATATTCCCCAGAGAGAAATTAGGTCAAATAATAGCAATCCCGGATGGATGAACAGGAGAGTAAAAGCATCTATTATGACAGGAAAGAGGAATTTATAGGCTCATCAAAAGAGGAGAGGTAAGCTTTATTGACCAATATGTTTAGTTTAAAAGAGTAGTAAAGAAGGAGGTAAGAAAGGCTAAATGTGTCTATGATTTAAGGTTGCTAATGAATCAAAGACTAATCCAAAAGGGTTCTTTCAAGTGTATAGGACTAAGGTCAGGGAAAAAGTAGGACTGCTGAAAATTGTGAGATGGACAGCTAACTGATAATGAACAGGAAATGTGTTCTCTATTTAGTGGCTATTTTTTGTCAGTGTTTACTCAAGAAGACATAAATGATATCCCAGCACTTAACAACTATTCAGTTCCTGAGAAAAACAAATGAAGTAATATTACTGTCACGTGGGAAATGGTTATCAAACTGCTAGATAAATTGAAACAAAATAATTCCCTGGAAAGTGACTAATTATTTTCAAGGGTAATAAAAGAATGCAAATTGAGACTTATTCGGCGCTAACGAGCGTGTTTAATGATTGCAAGAAAACATTGGTGTTGAGCCAGAGATGTGGAAGAAAGCTGCTTACCATTCTGAACTGGAAAGTTCACAAGCTCCTGCATAAGGATGCTAAACAGAGTGGGACTGAGCACACATTTTCCAGATTTTAAAGGAAGAGCAGTGTCCTTGGAAGCTGACACAGGTCTGCCTGTCCTTGAGGTAGGACTCTATCCAGGCCAGGAGGTACCCTTTGATTCCCTTGAGAGCTAGAATTGCTCTGGGGCTGGCTAGCACAAGTGCCTTCTCCTGGTCGAGATAGGCTTGTTGTTGCTGTCAGCAATCTGGCTTAGTAGGGTGATTATGCACTCTGTCGTACCCACTCTTTTGGTGAAGCCAAATCTGTGTTGATTTGGAGGTCCAAGTTTCCATAAAAGGGGATCAGCAGTCTTGGCTAAACAGCTGGTCAGCGATATGGATCTCATACTGCCCGGGTCCTTGGGCTTTGGAATTGGTACAATGGTGACCTTCTTCCACGCTGCTGGGAGTGCCCAGTCCCTCCATAACTTGTTTATGACATACAGTATAGCCTGCCGTCCACTCTGGCCAACCCATGCAATCATGGAGTACGTGACACCATCGATGCTTGGGGCAGCGTCAAAGGCGTTCTTAAATAGCACGTCGTAGTTCCAAGCCCATGAGGTCTTCATCAGTCACATCTTCAGACTCACAAGCAGCTTGCATCGTTAACTGGCGTTGTGGCAGAAGATCCGTCTGTATATCCCGGATGTCCTGTGGGAGCTGAGCAGAGGCTTCCCTGGAGATGAAGAGCTCCACCAGTTTCTCAGCTTCCTGGGCTGGGTTCCGGTGTGCTGGTGGCCCCAGCTGGCTCTTGTAAATTGCGACGTTAAGCTTGTACTTCATTATGAAGCAAACCATACCACGGGTTCTGGGGCTCTGGTGGCCTGGTGGTTAACGCTCTCGCTTCACACGGTGAGGGCCTGGGTTCGATTCCCAGCCAGAGTAGAAACATTGGACGTGTTTCTTTCCACCTGTTGTCTATGTTCCCCATCAGTAAAATGGGTACCTGGGTGTTAGTCGACTGGTGTGGGTCGCATCCTGGGACACTGACCTAAGGAGGCCTGGTCACAGACCGGGCCGCGGGGGCGTTGACCCCCGGAACTCTCTCCAGGACTCCAGGTCTCCAGGGTGGGGTTTGAACCCGCGGTCAGAGAGTCTGAAAACTCCAGACCGTCGCGTTAGCCACTGTTTGCAATCTTGTCATTTCTATTTCGTGAGCCAAGTTCATTATGAAGGACATGACAAAAGTGATGTAGCTCATTATGAAAGACATGACAAAAGTGATGTAGTTCATTATGAAAGACATGACAAAAGTGATGTAGTTCATTATGAAAGACATGACAAAAGTGATGTATGAAAGTTAAGACATATGTGCAACATCTGGATATCTTTATTGTAGACGTTTCGCCATCCAGAGGCTTTATCAATAATAGGAAGACAGTAGAACTATATACAAAAGATGAGGTAATCAGTCCCTCAGCCTTGGAGTTAGTGTTCACAGCATCGTGGTGGAGGAGAATCTGGAGCAAAGGCAAGAAGACTGGCGTTTATATAGGCGTCAGTGGAAGGGACTGGGAGCAGACGAGGGCAGTCACTGGTAGGCGGGATTCCCCAGTGGAAGTAGGTCCTTCCCAAAGAGATGGGTAAGTTGCAGCAGCCGTGAAGAAGGTCTTGTAGATGTCCTCTGAACCAAGATTCCATGATGTTGCAGTGTCTGACAAGTTGTGCAAGAAAGGTATAAAATACCGACAATATGAAAGTTAAGACACATGTGCAACATCTGGTTATCTTTATTGTAGACGTTTCGCCATACAGTGGCTTTATCAATACAGATTCTAGGATATAATTAGAAGACAGTAGAACTATATACAAGACCTTCTTCACGGCTGCTGCAACTAACCCATCTCTTTGGGAAGGACCTACTTCCACTGGGGAATCCCGCCTACCAGTGACTGCCCTCGTCTGCTGCCCGTCCCTTCCACTGACGCCTATATAAACGCCAGTCTTCTTGCCTTTGCTCCAGATTCTCCTCCACCACGATGCTGTAAACACTAACTCCAAGGCTGAGGGACTGATTACCTCATCTTTTGTATATAGTTCTACTGTCTTCCTATTATGTCCTAGAATCTGTATTGATAAAGCCACTGGATGGCGAAACGTCTACAATAAAGATATCCAGATGTTGCACATGTGTCTTAACTCTCATATTGTCGGTATTTTATACCTTTCTTGCGCAACAAGTGATGTAGTTCATTATGAAAGACATGACACAAGTGATGTAGTTCATTATGAAAGACATGACACAAGTGATGTAGTTCATTATGAAAAGACATGACACAAGTGATGTAGTTCATTATGAAAGACATGACACAAGTTATGTACTTCATTATGAAAGACATGACACAAGTGATGTAGTTCATTATGAAAGACATGACACAAGTGATGTAGTTCATTATGAAAGACATGACACAAGTGATGTAGTTCATTATGAAAGACATGACACAAGTTATGTACTTCATTATGAAAGACATGACACAAGGTAATATAGCTCATTATGAAAGACATGAGTAAAGTGTAGTTCTCACCTGGCCGAGTGTGAAGGTGTTGAAGAAGGAGTGTAGCAAGTCTCTGGGAAACACTTCTCCGGAACACACCCACAACCTGTGCAACACAATGTGTTAAGAAACACTTCACTGGAACACACACACAACCTGTGCAACACAATGTGTTAAGAAACACTTCACTGGAACACACCCACAACCTGTGCAACACAATGTGTTAAGAAACACTTCACTGGAACACACCCACAACCTGTGCAACACAATGTGTTAAGAAACACTTCACTGGAACACACCCACAACCTGTGCAACACAATGTGTTAAGAAACTCTTCACCGGAACACACCCACAACCTGTGCAACACAATGTGTTAAGAAACACTTCACTGGAACACACCCCACAACCTGTGCAACACAATGTGTTAAGAAACACTTCACCGGAACACACCCACAACCTGTGCAACACAATGTGTTAAGAAACACTTCACTGGAACACACCCACAACCTGTGCAACACAATGTGTTAAGAAACACTTCACTGGAACACACCCACAACCTGTGCAACACAATGTGTTAAGAAACTCTTCACCGGAACACACACACAACCTGTGCAACACAATGTGTTAAGAAACACTTCTCCGGAACACACCCACAACCTGTGCAACACAATGTGTTAAGAAACACTTCTCCGGAACACACCCACAACCTGTGCAACACAATGTGTTAAGAAACACTTCACTGGAACACACCCACAACCTGTGCAACACAATGTGTTAAGAAACACTTCACCGGAACACACCCACAACCTGTGCAACACAATGTGTTAAGAAACACTTCACTGGAACACACCAACAACCTGTGCAACACAATGTGTTAAGAAACACTTCACTGGAACACACACACAACCTGTGCAACACAATGTGTTAAGAAACACTTCACTGGAACACACCAACAACCTGTGCAACACTATGTGTTAAGAAACACTTCACTGGAACACACCTACAGCCTGTGCAACACAATGTGTTAACAAACAAAGACAACAACTAAGACCAGAAAATAAAAACAAAAACAGTATAATGAGATCCCTCTTTTAGCAACGTTTCGGTCACACGGTTGACTTTATCAAGTCTTAAACAGATCTTCCTGGGGAAAGAGTATGTATATAGTGTGGAAACTCTTCACTGAAGAGTCTCCACTGAAGAGTCTCCACTGAAGAGTCTCCACTGAAGAGTCTCCTCTGAAGAGTCTCCACTGAAGAGTCTCCACTGAAGAGTCTCCTCTGAAGAGTCTCCTCTGAAGAGTCTCCTCTGAAGAGTCTCCACTGAAGAGTCTCCTCTGAAGAGTCTCCACTGAAGAGTCTCCTCTGAAGAGTTTTCACTGAAGAGTCTTCACTGAAGAGTCTCCACTGAAGAGTCTCCTCTGAAGAGTCTCCACTGAAGAGTCTCCACTGAAGAGTCTCCTCTGAAGAGTCTTCACTGAAGAGTCTCCTCTGAAGAGTCTCCACAGAAGAGTCTTCACTGAAGAGTCTCCTCTGAAGAGTCTCCACTGAAGAGTCTCCTCTGAAGAGTCTTCACTGAGGAGTCTCCTCTGAAGAGTCTCCACTGAAGAGTCTCCTATGAAGAGTCTTCACTGAAGAGTCTCCTCTGAAGAGTCTTCACTGAAGAGTCTCCACTGAAGAGTCTCCACTGAAGAGTCTCCTCTGAAGAGTCTCCACTGAAGAGTCTCCTCTGAAGAGTCTCCACTGAAGAGTCTCCTCTGAAGAGTCTCCTCTGAAGAGTCTCCTCTGAAGAGTCTCCTCTGAAGAGTCTCCTCTGAAGAGTCTCACAAGAGTCTCCATGAAGAGTCTCCACTGAAGAGTCTCCACTGAAGAGTCTCCACTGACGAGTCTCCACTGAAGAGTCTCCACTGAAGAGTCTCCACTGAAGAGTCTCCACTGAAGAGTCTCCACTGAAGAGTCTCCACTGAACGAGTCTCACTGAAGAGTCTCCTCTGAAGAGTCTTCAAAGAAGAGTCTCCTCTGAAGAGTCTCCACTGAAGAGTCTCCACTGAAGAGTCTCCACTGAAGAGTCTCCACTGACGAGTCTCCACTGAAGAGTCTCCACTGAAGAGTCTTCACTGAAGAGTCTCCACTGAAGAGTCTCCACTGAAGAGTCTCCACTGAAGAGTGCCCACTGAAGAGTCTCCACTGAAGAGTCTCCACTGAAGAGTCTCCACTGAAGAGTCTCCATTGAAGAATCTCCATTGAAGAGTCTTCACTGAAGAGTCTCCATTGAAGAGTCTCCACTGAAGAGTCTCCACTGAAGAGTCTCCACTGAAGAGTCTCCACTGAAGAATCTCCACTGAAGAGTCTCCACTGAAGAGTCTCCATTTAAGAGTAAGAGTCTCCACTGAAGATTCTTCATTGAAGAGTCTCCACTGAAGAGTCTCCACTGAAGAGTCTCCACTGAAGAGTCTCCACTGAAGAGTCTTCACTGAAGAGTCTCCACTGAAGAGTCTCCACTGAAGAGTCTCCACTGAAGAGTCTCCACTGAAGAGTCTCCACTGAAGAGTCTCCACCGAAGAGTCTCCACTGAAGAGTCTCCACTGAAGAGTCTCCACTGAAGAGTCGTCACTGAAGAGTCTCCACTGAAGAGTCTCCACTGAAGAGTCTAAACTGAAGAATCTTCACTGAAGAGTCTCCACAGAAGAATCTTCATTGAAGAGTCTCCACTGAAGAATCTCCACTGAAGAATCTTCACTGAAGAGTCTCCACTGAAGAATCTTCACTGAAGAACCTCCACTGAAGAATCTTCACTGAAGAGTCTCCACTGAAGAATCTTCACTGAAGAATCTTCTCACTGGTAGATCTGTTTGTGACTTGATAAAGTCCACTGAGTGGGCGAAACGTTGTCAATAAAGGATCACATTATACTACTACACTTGAGTTAATTTTTCCATCGTGTAGGTATTTATTAACATTTAGCAGCACAACAGCTAAGATAACATGACAGTAAAATACTAAAGCAGAAAACAACAACCGTCAACAAGGACCATAATGGAGATAAGTCACTCAGAGTTTCCTGGGTTATCCCAGGTTCTCTACACATATGTTGCTATGTATGATGATCTATGTAACTGTATTTGTGTATACCTGAATATGTTGCTATGTATGATGATCTATGTAACTGTATTTGTGTATACCTGAATATGTTGCTATGTATGATGATCTATGTAACTGTATTTGTGTGTACCTGAATATGTTGCTATGTATGATGATCTATGTAACTGTATTTGTGTGTACCTGAATATGTTGCTATGTATGATAATCTATGTAACAGTATTTGTGTATACCTGAATATGTTGCTATGTATGATGATCTATGTAACTGTATTTGTGTGTACCTGAATATGTTGCTATGTATGATGATCTATGTAACTGTATTTGTGTGTACCTGAATATGTTGCTATGTATGATAATCTATGTAACAGTATTTGTGTATACCTGAATATGTTGCTATGTATGATGATCTATGTAACTGTATTTGTGTGTACCTGAATATGTTGCTATGTATGATGATCTATGTAACTGTATTTGTGTATACCTGAATATGTTGCTATGTATGATGATCTATGTAACTGTATTTGTGTATACCTGAATATGTTGCTATGTATGATGATCTATGTAACAGTATTTGTGTATACCTGAATATGTTGCTATGTATGATAATCTATGTAACAGTATTTGTGTATACCTGAATATGTTGCTATGTATGATAATCTATGTAACTGTATATGTGTATACCTGAATATGTTGCTATGTATGATAATCTATGTAACTGTATATGTGTATACCTGAATATGTTGCTATGTATGATAATCTATGTAACTGTATTTGTGTATACCTGAATATGTTGCTATGTATGATAATCTATGTAACTGTATTTGTGTATACCTGAATATGTTGCTATGTATGATAATCTATGTAACTGTATTCGTGTGTACCTGAATAAACTTACTTATAACAATAATAACCAAAAGAAACACGGAGTGATAGCATGTAATTATCTGGGTGACTGTTCTAGCAGATTGTTCTAGCAGACTGTTCTACCAGACTGTTCTACCAGTCTGATCTAGCAGACTGTTCTACCATACTGTTCTACCAGTCTGATCTAGCAGACTGTTTCAACAGAAAGTTGTACCAGACTGTTCTAACAGACTGTTCAACCAGACTGTTCAAGCACACTCTTCTAGCAGACTGTTCTAGTAGTCTGATCTAGCAGACTGTTCTAGCAGACTCTGCTACAAGGCTGTTTTAGCAGTCTGATCCAGCAGACTGTTCTAACAGACTGTTCCAGCACTGATACAGCAGACAGTTCTAACATACTATTCTAGCAGACTGGTGTACGAAACATTACTGTTGGACGAAAAATTACTGTTGGACGAAACATTACTGTTGGACGAAACATTACTGTTGGACGAAACATTACTGGCGGACGAAACATTACTGTTTGACGAAACATTACTGGTGGAAGAAACATTACTGGTGGAAGAAACATTACTGGTGGACGAAATATTACTGGAGGACGAAACATTACTGGTGGACAAAACATTACTGGTGGACGAAACATTACTGGTGGACGAAACATTACTGGTGGACGAAATATTACTGGAGAACGAAACATTACTGGTGGACGAAACATTACTGGTGGACGAAATATTACTGGAGGACGAAACATTACTGGTGGACAAAACATTACTGGTGGACGAAACATTACTGGTGGACGAAACATTACTGGTGGACGAAACATTACTGGTGGACGAAATATTACTGGAGGACGAAACATTACTGGTGGACGAAACATTACTGGTGGACGAAACATTACTGGTGGACGAAACATTACTGGTGGACGAAACATTACTGGAGGACGAAACATTACTGGTGGACGAAACATTACTGGTGGACGAAACATTACTGGTGGACGAAACATTACTGGTGGACGAAACATTACTGGTGGACGAAACATTACTGGTGGACGAAACATTACTGGTGGACGAAATATTACTGGTGGACGAAACATTACTGGTGGACGATATATTGCTGTTGGATGATACTTTACTGGTGGATGA